GAGGCCCTTCAGAAAATGGCGAAGGGCGATGCTCTCTCTGGTAACTGGATCTGCCGTAGGGTAGCCACGGAAGACGAGGCGGCGAATGTCGGCTACAAACTCCGCCAGCTTCTCCTTCGGCTGATGTCTCCTCGCTTCTAGCTGAGCGATGTAGTAATTTGGCAATTGTCGTTCGCCAAATCGTTTACCAAGCTCCTTCACCAGGGTGTCGGACGACTTGATTGCTTCGGGATCCAGTTGCTGGTACACGTACTCGGCCGCCTTTCCACGTAGACTGCTGACAAGTCGGAAGCGCTTTTCTTCCTCGGACCAGCCGCAAGCCTCGGCGAGACCCATCAGAGGTCGGACGAAGCCTTCCCATGACTTCGTGCCGTCAAATTCTCCTTGGCGAGGGAGAGGAACATCCAGCTTATGACTCGGCTGGGTTCGGAGAGGACGGGGCTCTGCTTGCTCTGCTGCAGTTGGTTTAGGGGCGTCAGCTTGTGGAACGGTGGAAGGGGCAGTACTGGGAGCAGACATCACTGGCTGTGAGTCCTTGGGCGATTTCGCTGAAACATTGGCATCTGTCTGCTCAGCCGTTGATGGGCTGTGTAATGCAGCAGTTGCTCGCAGTTGTTTCAGCTCTTTCTCCGCCTCCACTGAACGAAGCTTGAAAAGTTCGAACTGTTTTTTAAGTTCTTGAAGTTCTGCACTCTCTTCCTGTAGACTTGAATACAGGTTGGTGTCATCATCATCATACAACGACTGTAACCTGCGAGATTTTCGCTTGGCAGGCATGTTGGCTGCTGATATTGACAAGCAGAAAGTCAGAGTCTAAAGCTGGGAGATCCGTTCAGTGGAGGGGTACATGAAGTGACTTAATTAAAAGTCATGGTAGTGTGCGATGGTGTGTGTAAGTTCGTATCCCAGCGCTTGCCACCAGTGTAACGTCTCTCTGGGTTGAGAGACATTATCAAATAAAGAGTCAGATACAAATATCTTACACACACACACTAGTACTTTATTCGGGATTATTTACATCTCAGGTCAATAGAGGGCGCACTATATACAATGTAAAGTTAAGGCGTACATGTGTACATGTCAGGAACTCTGTCGGGGTCAGAGCCCAGATCATCCATCTAATGCATGGTATGCGGGAGCTCTGTGTAGGTCAGAGCTCAGCTCAGGAATCTACTGGGGAAGAGCCCAGTACAACAATGACCAGAACTGCCATTTCTGCGCGCTTTATATAGACTTTTGGGGGCGCGTCTTAGCCAATGGGAGCATTGGATTCTGGTGGTTATGAATAATGCATACGTGTACAAAGGCATGGGGAAAGTTCTCTATGGGAGATTTGTACACGCTGACTTAGACATTCTAGTGGAAGAAAGTCCGAGAGCAGTGGTTAGCGGGCGAAGTAGGATCACTCGTGGGTGCGTTACGGGGAACTGATCCTCAAGGAAAAGGGAAAGGGAATAACTTCTCGGTACATAGGTTTGTGTACAAGACTTAGTCTCTAGACTAGGTAAGAATCTACACACTAATGCTATGGAGTAAAACTATGAGATGAAGGACGTAACCTGACCTCTGGCTACCGTAGGTCTCGGCCAGTGGGTTAGCGGGACACACTCGCTGGGGTGTACGGGGTCACTGAGGGGTGAATACACGGGTAGGTTTTAGCGAGCCACATTCGCTAAATGCTTCGGGTCAATGTGGGTCAGATGCGAGGTAAGGTGTGTGAGGGGAATTCGCATCGACTCCGGGGAAAGGTGGAGGGAAAATGGCTAAGTCCTAAGTACATGTCCCATGGCGGTACATGTTCAGTAGCTGTGAGTGCTACATGCATTGCGCGCTATACAATAGCGTACTGTACAATGTGCTGCACACTTGTACGTGTGTCTAAGACTTCGTGGTAAAGCTTCGCGCTGTGTGAGGGCACACAGGATCGCTGCAAGCATTACACTGTGCACGGAGTGGAATGGATTGGTTAGGAAAGAAGTAAACTACGCAATTTGCGGGAACGCAACAATATGTAGTAATGTACACTGCTAGTACTGGCGCAATTTTGAGGTCAAATCTTTGTTTTACTCAATACCAAAGAATTCAAACAATGCACTGTAATGTTCATGCCAACATTTCTCATTGTTACTGATTTGCTACTATATATATACAGTACAGTAATTTTCAACATTTCAATTTCAATTTGCTGAAGGCCCAAGCAATATGACAAACAATAAAGTGCAATGTGTCTTCATAATTATTGTCACATAAACATGCAGATTAGGAAGGTGAATTGATCCCATACACCATCAATGTCGTAACAAAAATTAGAATTAATCCTTTCAAGACCATGGCAGTGTGAGTGGAGTCACAAAAGAAATTCCATTTCAATTGATTGACCTCCTCGCATCATATGCATAATTTTAAGGGCAGAAACCATGCATCCAAATACCAAAGTATACACTCAACCGAAATATGAAATATGCATTGTAAATGTAGTCAACTAATTTGGGGTCTTTGATTAAAGTGTTTCAAAATTGGTACATCAGTCAAGTTTTTGTCTGTTATTTTTCATTTTCTTTTTTAGCAACATGACTGATACTGATAGCTAGGCAAATGATTCCAATCCCAACTGCAGCCCTTAGTTCAAAACATGCAGGATTTTACACAGCTTACATAACACAGCACTGAAATTCATTAAAGGCAAGGGAACTTGGCCACAGTGTCCGAAACTGTTGTTGTGAACGATTGCCAATTGTGCAGTGATGCGTGACTGAAATTAAATGAAACTCATAGGGGTTGAGGCCAAGGCTTAGGAATATCTGCACAACCAAACATTTTCAAAATTGACTTCATGGTTTTCAAAAATAGTCAGATGGGCACTATTTTTGGGACATACTATATAATGCATATTTCATATCCGACCTCAAAGAACTAGAAAAAAAAAAGAGTGCAAGAGAAAAGATCATGCCAGAATGTTTTGTAACCGTGTATATTGGGTCCTTGGTGCGACTATCACAGTGGATGGGCTCCTTCAGGGTAAACTGGGGGACGTGTTTTTTTTGTTTGGGCGGGCGAGGGGAACAGCGGGGGGTGTGCCCAAAACAAGGATTCTGGAAGTGTCGCCGCTGGTGCCGGTAGTAAGGCACCAGAGTTGGCTTAACGGGGTCAGCTGGGCGATTTTTGGTGGAAAACACAGGGGTGTAGACGGGTCGAGAACTGTGCGGCTTGGGCGTAATAGTGGGGCCATTACCGGGGAAGAGTAGGGAACCCACGCTCCGTTTGACAGGCTTTGCGTGGGCTCGGGCGTAATTTGGGGTGCTCTGGGGGGTCATTTCGAGGGTCGAGAGGGTGAGATTGTGGAAACAGGGACAGGTGGTGCTGGGGGCATTGCATAAGTGACGGACAAGCTGTTGGAAAGGGGGAAAAGACAGAGTGCACAGAGGATAGAGTTACAGTTTCAAGTTGGTTAACAGGAGAAACACTTTAGAAAAGACTTCAAAAGAGCATGCACACATTGACTTCAGGGCTTAATTTCATGGCGCTGCTAAGCACGCAATTTTCTGCTAACACAGCCGCTTTCTATTTCATGGCCAGACCATAAGCAGTATAAGCACAGCAAAAGGTAACTAATAGCTCAGAAGAAAAAAAGTTGCTTAAATCAAAGACATAATAGAAATCTCCATGCAAGCGCACATCCGCACCATGAAATAGTGCTTATGGTTAGCACAATTTGCTGCTACACTAGTAGTTAGCACAACGTTTCAGCTAACTTTTAAGCAGTGCCATGAAAATGGGCCCCGAAATTCTTAATCAATTGGTTTTAATGACAGTCATGCAACAATTTTGAGGTTTTGGGGATAGAGGGTGCAATACCATAGACCAGCTAAAAAGAACAGTTAAGCTCTGCAAATTTGTGTGCTAAGCGTAAATCAGTTGAGTGCTGGTCACACCCAATATGTACACCGCATGAACAGTTTGGCTGGAACACTGTCTGCTAAACAAATAATTTCCATATCTAGCAAGTTCCTGTGCCTCGCAGCCCCACGGAATTAGCCCCTAGTGTGAAGACTAGCAGAAACAGGTTTCATTTGTTATAAAGTGTTACCATTCTACATAAACACCGCAAAAAAGAAAGTCCACACTCATTGGAGGGGTCATCATTTTGAATCTGATCGTCTTATGATGACGTCATTTATATAGACCTTTTGGGAATGTTGTTAGCCACATTTTGATAGCCCGTCTGCTACCAAAGACTGCAAATCGTCAAACTTTGATGACGGTTTATGAAAAATGATGCAGTTAGAAAAGTTACAAATTTAAAGAGTATGCGAATGGAAATAGTTGCCAATGTTACACTGCCCGAAATGAACGGCAGGGAATAGCGATCGCACAGTGCTTGTATGCATGGGAGCATGTGAAATTCAATGACCCACACTTTGTTAGGGCACTGTGCAGTCAACTTTGCAACTTTTCAAACTGCATCATTTTCATAAACCGTTGTCAATCTTGGACAATTTACAGTCTGTGGTAGCAAGCAGAGTATCAAAATGTAGCTAACAACATTCCCCAAAGGTCTAATACAAGTGACGTTATCATAAGACGATCAGATTCAAAATTATGACCCCTCCAATGAGTGTGGACTTTCTTTGTTTGCGATGTCTACATCTGTAATTAAGCATGAAGCAATGGGAGTTTGACAAGCGTGTGAGCTGTCACAAAGCTTAGCCACTGTCACATCAAACCACGGAATGAAGAGCGCATTACTCTATTGTGTAGGATGTGACACACATTAAAAGTGACACTAATTTTCTGCTAGCAATTCATCAACACACGCACAAAATATATTGCCGTGATGGGCCAGACAGTATACAACAAACATGTTTGAACTCAGGGTGCTTTCAAAATGTATTCTTCACAAGAAAATGAGGTGTCAGCACTCCAGTAATTAACATGTAGCTCTACGGCAAAACAAACATCTCAATGGTGGAAAATATTAAGAGAAAGTTGGGAAAACTTACTGAACCTACCTCGGGCGTCACAATCTCGTTGACCGAGGGGCATCCCAGCTCTTCCACCAGGAGCGACGGGAAGACCCCCACCCGGCCGTTCAGCTCCCCCTCCCAGAAGCCGTCCCCCTCGTCGTCCTGCTTCAGGACCTTGATGACGCAGCCTTCTGAGAAGGACAGCTCATCGGTGGTGCAGCCCTGGTAGTCGTACAGGGCTCTCGCAAAACAGACTGGGTTTTTTTATGGTAAGGAAACGGGATTAGAAGTGATGCATGACACAAGCGCCAACCAATGCATCATGACCACTACACCACTACGTAACATCAAATTATTGTTGCTACACGTTTATTTGTCATAGTCCATCTGTGTTGTTGGAATATTTTTGACATTAATATTAGGAGCCGAAAAGATTTCCAAAAAAAATAATGCTTTATGTCAAATTAAATTGATAACACTTCAATTTCAAAGTGAATGTGAATGAGTGATGGAAATGGAATTACAGACAATGCTGTGGTTGCTTATTTCTACACTTATTTCTGTGCTTACCAGTTTCAATAAAATTGGAGCTGCTGGTCAGTAAATGTCGGTAAGCAAATTACTGTGATCAGCGAGAATCCGACTAGAACCAGTTACAGACAATCCACAAGAGTATGTCATTTTTGCTGGTAACCCATTTTTGCTAAGCAAATATGTTCTGTGCTTAGCAAATGTATGTGCTTAGCAAGAATCAGCTGGGAACCAGTCACAAGCAATGTACATTGTGTGACATTTTGGCTAGTAACCTGTTTTTGCTAAGCAAATATGTTCTGTGCTTAGCAAAGTTCTTGGCTTAGCAAGAATCAGCCGGGAACCAGTCACAAGCCACATGAAGTACATTGTGTAACATTTTGGCTGGTATCCTGTTTTGCTGAGCAAATATGTTCTTTGCTTAGCAAAACTCTGTGCCTTGCTATTCCACAATAAATTGGGTGCTCAGGTGAGACAGACCAAATGCATGATGTGTGAAATGGAATACTTGATGGGAACGAAGTGCTTCGTGCGATCAAGAAATTTCTGTGCTTAAAAAAATTCTGTGCTTACTAGCTCCAAGACAATGGCCCAGCATGAGAATGAAGCACACAATGTGAATGGTATGGTGATCGCACCAATTTCTGTGCTTGAAACGAGGGCAACTTTCTGTGCTTAATAACCACCGATCTCTATATGCTGACTGCATAGCGCATGCCCATTACGCCCTACACTAACTGTGGTGTTTTTTGAGTTCGCCCCTGGTCTTCCAAATGCGGCCACCAATACAACATTACAAATGTGAATGACCACCAGATCTACAACGGCAAGACCGAATCAGTCTTCCCAACATGGCTTCAGTTAACTTCAACTAGTGACTGTCTACATGTCAGGGATGTGATTGGTCTGTAACAAAAAAACCTGAAAATTTTATGCATGAAGTGCAAACCCCGGCGAGCGCGAAGCGCGAAGCCATTACGGCGTGGGGTCCGGGGCCCGCTTAAGGGCCCCGGAATTTTTAAGGGCCCCGAAAAAAAAAAAATTGATTTTAGATGCTCTGTGGTGCAATCTGAGGCAATTACTGGGCACTTTCCTCTAAAATTCTGAAGCAGAATTTGTTTTAATTTTATGAAGAATTTTCCCTTATTTGTTAAAATGTACTCTTGTTCTAATAAAGTTTTTCTGTACTCAAAGTTGAGAACCATGCTGTTCTCCCCAGGATTTTTTCAAACCTGTGGGGGAATTTTTGTTGTGATACAACAACCTGCGAAGCCACGGCGTGGGTTCGGGGCCCGCTTAAGGGCCCCGAAAATTTTTGATTTTTAGAAGCTTTCTGGTGCATTTTAGAGCATTTCAGAGGAGATCTTGTGATTTAAAAAAAAAAAAAAATCAAAATTGTAAACTTAAATCACTTCTGCTTCCGATAACATGCCTTTCAAAATAGCGTCGGTAGTATTGTTGGAAAAAATTATTTCACCATTTCTAAGCAAGGAATCGTTTATATTTCATGTATTTTGTGCCTGGATTATTCTCATTTGCGCCACAAAAATTATCAAGACTAGCTATCAAAAGTGATTAAAACTTGCCTCACCTACTTAAAAATATATTTGAGGTGGGTCATTCCACAATTATGCTTAACGTACATCATGGCCGCTAGCGCCGCAAACATTCAGTCTGGCCGGCCGTACATTGCGCCGTACACACGGCCGGCCCGGCGCGGTACTATCCGGCGCGGTCTATCCCGTGTGGCCGAAAATTCTGCCGGACTGCAGAAACACGCTACGATGTTTCTCCACAGGTTCGAATTTTGCAATCTCGTAATTTCAATGGAAAATACATACACAGAAAATGAAGATCACGTTCTGTGAATTAATTTTCAGAAATCCTCTTTTTCCATCGATGGTTGTTTTACTATTTTTACGATCCAACTTCGGCCGATTGATTCCGCACGGAAAACGAACCTACGTGAGTACTTGCAGTAGTCACTGGTTCCGATCCTTCATCATAGCATTGATTCTGTTAGCACGCGAAGGGTACCAGTGTACCATGCTGCACACGTCTGCACACCTGACCAGCGCAACACGTGCATCTCAAGTACCGACACAGGAACTAGACCTACATAACCACAACCTCGGCCCCGAGCGAAAAATCACATAATCGCACTAATGGCAACCGCATGGTCTTCAACTTCGTTCTCACATTGGGTGTTCAATATGTGCGTGCGGCATGCATATCGATCAACGAAGTTTATGTCCGTAAGTAAATTTCGGCAAGCAAAACTCATTATGAATAATTAATTAGCACATTCTACCCCCCTATTTTCTCAACGGATTCACACGATTCACGTTGGTGGACTTTTGAGGCCCAAAAAAACGGATTTCCGGATAAAACCGGAGAAATCACATCCCTGACATGTACATGTATGTGCTATCAAGTCAGTATATAGTGGTCAGTGTTAGTAACTTCACAAATTGGTAGATGAGCCTAATTTCAAGGAAATTTAAGCAATTTGCACAGTATGACATCTGACGAGTAACCTATTTTCGCAACACTAATATTTCTGCACCAGCCAAGCTTCCATGCTTAAGCTGCTTCGCAAATTTTACTCCCGGAGTTCATGTACATGTATGTAAGTGACCGAATGCATGACGTGAACCGGATTCATGAGTGGAAACGTTGGTGCACCATGAGATGATCACACATCATGATAATCGGTCGCTCACCGTGGCTGCCGGATGGCGCTTGCTCAGACTCAGACTCACCCACGGTCTGTCCCGAGGCCGTCGCGGCGCCCACCTGATTGGCCATAGCAGCCTGGACCTCGTAGTCGGTCAGCGAGGCCGAGGACATGTAGGGCTGGCCCGTCTTGCTGAGCTGGGACCAGCCCGGGCTGCCCTCCGAGGAGTTGTTGGAGAGCTGCCGGGTGACGTGACGACGCTCCACCTGGACGTAGGCCTCCGGGATGTAGCCGGACTGACCGCTCTCATTCCTTGCCTGTTGGAGTCATTAAAATAATGGGCAGTTCCAGCGTTATAGAATGTCCGTCAAAGGACCATTCTTTGGTCACTGTGTGACATATAATTGGGCTCTTCTGCTTTTTGAAGTTTTACCCCTTGTTAGGGGAGTCAGGTTGGCGTAGTGGTACTTTCCTCGCCTTCCATCGCTGTGATGCGGGGTCGAATCCCCCCTGGGCCAATATGTGGATTGGGCTTTCAGTCCCTGCCTGATTCCGTGGGTTCTCCCCAGAATATTCTTCTTGGGTTTTCTCCCACCTCTAAAACTGTAATTTCTTCTCGTTGTCTTCTCTCTACAGGTTTACTACTGCCTAGGGCACTTTTGAGGAATCCTTGGCATATTACTTTCACTGATTCATTGGGTTAGTACTTTTTACTTCCTACCTCAGAGTACAGTTTCTACTTTCCTAAATTGTGTCGAAATATTAGGAGGGGTCATCAAATTTCGGTCACGTGTGTGACATAAAACGAAAAAATGTTATCCGGCCCATATCTGAAATTCACGCTTTTCTCCAAAGTTCTAAGGACACAAACACCCATACTTATTTTGGAGTAAGACTAGCCTTGACCAAGGCTATCAGCTTGTTCCCATACGAGCTTGTTCCCGCTACCGCACACCGCGCGCGCCGCGACACAATCACTATTACTATACCGTTAGCCTCAACGACCCTTGCGTGTGCTTTGTGTGCATGTACGTACGCCCCACACACACTTCCGCAAACAGCCGTACAATAAGTCGAAGCGGAAGATAGCCTTGACGCAACCGTGGCGAATTCCTTATGTGTTTCTTTATAGTTTCGACCGAAATTGGCTGAAAATTTCTGATGCGCATATATTACACGATATCCAATCAAAGCCCGTAAACTTTGACCCGCGACATACATATTCATGACCCGCAAATTACTGTATACATTACGTACATGTATGTTCACTCAAACCATGGTATGTCCAGGTATTTCAATCCCATTTTAAACCATTTCTCCAGTTTTATTACAAACAAATGAAATATGCCGCTATATGAGTGAACAGTTGTTCAAAATGATACTATTTCCATGTATTGCGAATTGGACAGTTCAAAACAGTCCGCCGACGTTTTGTCGGTGCAACAGCGTACATTATCACGCCGCTACCTGCCCGTGCTATTCTGACAGCGAATGTAGGGAACAGGTCAACTCGGACCCAGGTCAAATCATACCCATTTAATCGAATGCAGGATAACTCGTATCTATAAGCACCCGTATGAATTAACTGCAAGAAACGAGCTATTGACTTTGGGATGGAAATATACGAAACTGTCAGGTACATGGTGAAAAAAACTCTCCCTGAATTCGTACCATGTGCAAACTACATCTCATACGTACGACACATGTATTTTAACGCGTACGTATGAATCGTATATGTCGTACCTACGACATACGTACGACATGTAAGTCGTAGATGTAAATCGCACGAGATACAAGTCGTACGTTCTCACAAGATATGTTGTATGTACGACATAATCGACAAACAAGTCGAACATACGAGTTACAATTCATATTTTGTACACACGAGATATGAAGTCGCACTTATATACGACTTTGTCGTATGCGACATTTATCGTACCCTGTCGACTCAACTTATGCACGACATATATGTCGTACCGGCACCTGTCGACATTATGTCATATGTTTGATATGTCATACCCTGTCGACAAATATGTCGTACCCTGTCGATGATATTAGTTGTACCCTGTCGAAATATGTCGTACCCTGTCGATATATTAGTCGTACATACGACATATAACTTATAAGTTGTTCATACAAGTTAAACTCAGTCTTACAGAATAAGTTTGCTGAAGGAGAGATATTTTTTTCCCATATCCCCTTGACAGCTTAGAAGAAATACCCCCCCCCCCAAAAGTCAGCGGTAGATATACTCAATAGCGTGAGCGCTTTTTTTGCCGCTGAACGTGAAAGCGCAGCGTGTCTCACTGCATGGCGCCAGCCGGGCCGGTGCCTGCAGTGGACGGCCCCAACGAGGCCTCTGTGCACCTTGACATCGTTTTTGCCGGTGTGCGGTTTTGTACCGTTTGCCTTTTTTTGAAGGTCTAATTTTTTTCATCCTTTTCATTTCATTTTCGACCCAAACTATGTGTAACTTTATAAATATTATTCTACTATTATTTAAGATTTTAAGGGGGTGTTTTACAATCATTATTGTTACCACAGGCCGTCTGTTTATAAACCTTTGGTCGTATTATGCAATTCAATAAATATTCATTTTTTTGTCAGCCGTTATCCAATGAGAGAAGACTATTTACCATAGCGCGTACTAATTATCATATTCAGCATACACGGTTGCGTCAAGGCTATCTTCCGCCTCGACTTACTGTACGGCTGTTTGCGGAAGTGTGTGTGGGGCGTATACGTACATGCACACAAAGCACACGCAAGGGTCGTTGGGGCTAACGGTATAGTACAACATTGTGTCGCTGCGCGCGCGGTGTACGGTAGCGGGAACAAGCTCATATGGGAACAAGCTGATAGCCTTGGTCAAGGCTAGAGTAAGACTAGTCTTTTGTGATTTACAGAATGCATGAACAATGTACACCCTCTACTTTAATTGTTACTAAATGGGAATTGTTCTGTGGTCACGTGCGTGACATTTTGATCGATCATGTGTGACATTTTGTAATTAAAAGTATGCTAATTTATGCACGGAAAGACCAACTTATAAAAGTTCTTAAGAAATTTGCATCTTTTCTTACCAGCAACACTTTAGTGTAATAATAATTATGGGAAAATGGGACATTTGGGAGACATTCCCATAGACTTGTGCACATATTTTTTCAAACTTCAATGTGTTCTAACCCAATATTCCCTTGTCCTTTTCCCACGAATTTCAGTATGATTACTAGTTAGACCACGAGCAACAAATATAATTAAATTGCGACAGTAATATTTGGCCTCTAAAGGGGGGCTGTGACATTAGGGAGACATGAAAATGTCTCCCTAATGACCGATGTCTGCCATCGTGCGAAGAAATTACGATAACGTGTCTCCTTAATGGTACCATTACACATATAATCATTTGTATTACAGCTGTACATCACGTAAAAAACGTCCCCTCCCCCCCCCCCAAAAAAAAAAAAAACCAATTTAGGTTCAATTTCTGAAGAATCGCCCCAAAGAGCTTGTAAGAGCTTCGTGAATAAACCTGAAAAAAAGTAGTTTTCAAATCTTAAACATTCATAATCTACATGTAGTAGTGGTCATGGAGATTACAGATGAGGAGTTTTTGGATCATTTCTTTGAATAAATAATTAGACATCATAGTTCATTGGCTCTGCTAAGGGCATTCCACTTCCTTCCATAAATTGCTGGAATTGCACGAACCAATTTTAAAGGTACATGGAATCATTTGCTTAAGCATTCTTTTTTCATTTGAAGAAACAAAATTGCTCGATATTTCAATCCACAGCAACTAACCTGTGTAATTTTCACTTTAGTGACTACTATACATTTTGAGAAACATAGAAAACATATTTTACAATTTTTTGAGTCAGATGGTAACTGGATTCTTCCGTTTGTAAACGTATGTCAATGAAAAAAATCAATCATACAGGACATTTAAAAATAAAAATTATTCATTAATAAGGGATTAAGATAAACTACTTGTACAATTATTTCTACTACAATACACTGCCAGGTGTTTCATTTTCCCCCTTTGTTTGTTTGTTTGTTTGTTTGTTTGTTTGTTGGTGGGGTTTTTTTTGGGGGGGGGGCAAAACAATCAGTTCATGAGGTCATGACCTTTGACCTACCTTGACCCAACCATCTCCTTCTGATTCTTCAATGATTTCCAGGTACTCATGTTCCCTTATCGACAACTCATCATCTCGCTGAGCCTGTTTGAAAAAAAAAAAAAAGAATGAATAAAAAAGGTTATGCTGCAGCTACAAAATTAAATTGTGGTATAACTTCGGCCCTCTGGGGCTCGTTCAATGGTGAACAAAAACATTTTAAAAATTAAACAGCAATGAAACAAGTTGTGTTTTATTTTATAACATTGTATTACCTAGTATTTCATTGTATAACATATTGTATTACCTTGTATTTCACTGTATAACATTGTGTTTCATTGTATAACATTGCATTATCTTGTATTTCATTTTATAACATTGAATTACCTTGTATTTCATTGCATTACTTTGTATTTCATGGTATACGATATTTCCTTATATTTCATTAAATATAACATTGCATTAACTTACTTCATCGTATAACATTGCATTATCTTATATTTCATTGTATAACATTATATTACATTGTATTTGATTGTATGAAAATGTATTTTCTTGCATGTCATTGAATAACATTGCATGAATTTGTATTTTATCGTATAACATTGCATTACCTTACACTTCATGGTATAAATTTGCTGTGTTTCCTTAATATTTCATTGCATAACACTGCACCTTGTATTTCATTGTATAACATTGTGTTTCCTTGTATTTCATTGTATAGCATTGTATTACCTTGTAGTTCATTGTATAACAATGTAGTACTCAGCTTGTATTTCGTTTGTATAACACTATATTACCTTTATTTCATTGTGTATCACTGTATTACCTAGTGTTTCATTGTATAACATTGTACTTCCTTGTATTTCATTGTATATTATATTTCATTGTAAAGCATTGTATTACCTTGTAGTTCATTGTAGCTTGTATTTCATTGTATAACACTATATTACCTTTATTTCATTGTGTAACACTGTATTACCTAGTGTTTCATTGTATAACATGTATTACCTTGTAGTTCATTGTATAACATTGTATTAGCTTGTAATTTTTGTACAACACTGTATTACCTTGATAAACATTGTATTACCTAGTGTTTCATTGTATAACATGTATTACCTAGTGTTTCATTGTATAACATTGTATTACATTGTATTTCATTGTGTAAAATTGTGTTACCTTGTATTTGATATATTACATTGCAATTACATGTACTTCTTGATGAATCCATAAAACCATACAGTGCTAGGATGATTTACGTATGAGGTATTTGGTATGAGGCAGGGTGATTTGTAGCAGTAGAGTAAAAAAAATCTAGGTTAAACTCATATATTTTATACAGCAACAAATTGACAAGTTAATAAAATAAGGGAATGACAGGCACTAATTAAGCAAAACATACCGCACAGTGATTAACCAGTATACGGACCTTTTATTGAGTAAAAAAAATCTAGGTTAAACTCATATATTTACACGCAACAAAATGACAAGTTAATATCATAAGGGAATGACAGGCACTAATTAAGCAAAACATACCGCACAGAGATTAACCAGTATAGGAACTTTTATTGAGTAAAAGAAATCTAGGTTAAACTCATATATTTAATACAGCAACAAATGACAAGTTAATATCATAAGGGAATGACAGGCACTAATTAAGCAAAACATACCGCACAGTGAGTAACCAGTATACGGACCTTTTATTGGCAGGGCCTTTCATTGTATAATATAAACAATGCAACAGAGTTGTCAATCTAAACGTGGATGCTGAAGGGGGAAAGTAATCAAATGTAAACACGCTGCCCAAGTTGTGACATCATTCAGACGTCATTCAGAGGTCAACTGGGTGTAACCATGGTAACTGGTTGACGCACACTGCAGCGCCCTCGTGAACACAGCATTTCGCTAAGGAGGTTGTAAACCCAAGTTTTATAATTGGCTCGACTCCAGGAAGCAAAACTAAGTATGATTTAACTCCGATGTATAGGGGGACAATCTGCTGCGTAACAATTTACCCATTTCAGATTCTCATTTGTGGGTAATTTCTTTGTATAGACCAATCTTGGCACACTATCACTTCAAGCACGACAGCCCCCTTTAAAGGGAAGATACAACATTTGCAAACATCAAAATATGAAATGATCAAATTATCTCGAAATACCTTACTGGATTGTTAGGGAATGATAGTCTAAAAGCATCCTGTAAAATCGTGGCTCCTTGTGTGCTGACAATTTCAAGAAAAATTGTATTTTTCCAACGCTGGTCGGCTGACCAGCGTTGGAGAAAACTTGGGTTTTTTTTTCTCAAAAACTGCTCTTAATTTTCTCATGTTTATTTATTCCACATTTTCTTTGCAATTGATTACACACATGTGTGGGGTACAAGCCTGCTAGACTGATTCTCTGACCTTACAATTTCCCTAAGTCTATAAATTGCTCCGTTTCATCTTCAGTGGGGTCAGGGAACCAGACTACAAGAACATGATTGTTTTTCTTGGTTTTTCCAGCATCTACGAACGCAAAATTTTAAACAAGTCAATGAAACAATAGTTGATATAAAATACTAACCCCCAGATACATCCATTTCTAAAAAATTACAGCAAAAGCAAATGTATATTCCCAACGTGACAGATTTCTGTGCTTGGAGGCTCCACGAAAATTGACCCCGTCGCTCAAAAGACAATAGTTTGTTTGCACTGCTGCCATCTTGAAGGGGTTTGTTATTGTTCAACAGGGACACGTAAGAGCAGTCCTCTCATGCATGTCAATGAGTTAACGTAACAAATCACAACTCAATCATGGCTTCCGAGTGCAAATTGATCTATTGTGAGCAATGGCGTTGCCAATCAAAAATTGGGACTATTAAAGCAAAAAGCAATAAAGATCAACTTAGGGAAGTTGTTTATCCTAAGACTTGGTCAAACAGCTTAAACAAGAGCACGGTGATCACTTGTGAGAGCCGTGTCACAAGTCTGGTATGAGGCCGAGCCCAATTTACTTGGCTACGGCTCGCTATATGGAAGCGGCTGCAGCCTCTTAGCGAAGACTGTGTTACCTCTAGCCATAGCCGTGCAGTTTGGATGCGGCTTATTAAAGTCAGATATGATGCCGCCTCGACACATAATCAAACACACTCACACCTTGGAACTCAGCAGAGAAGGTCCACAGTTCGTATTCCTCAACTCCATCTGGAAGTTACAAACCTCGCAAAATAGTAGACAGGAAGACGCGGGTTCGAGTCCAATCCAAGCAGTCTTGAGAATTATTTTTCTCACAAGCTGTCACACGGTACTGAGTTTTACGGTGCTTTAAGTTTGGTTTGGTGAAGAGCAAATTCCCAATGTTACAGACATCAGCAGCATAAGAATGAATACAACAGGTTATGAAACAATTAGAAACACCTGAAAGCACTGAGTTTGTGGTGCTTTATCGAGTTTTGTCGGTGAAGAGCAAAAACTGTTAGGCTCTTCAGGATGAACACGACAGGTAACGATACATCTGCAACGGATGACTACCAGCCGTTTCAAATAGTCGTCAATGTTTTCCAGACTCTGACAACTCTTCTGATTCTTGTTCTCAACCCTCTGAGCCTGGTTGTGCTTCGTCGGGCTGGCGGCATCCAGCAGACCACCAAGATTCTCATGGCCTCGATGACTGTCTCTGATACCTGCTCTGGGGTCGTCTTGGCGGCACAGCTGAGTGCGAGTCTCTCCGGCAAGTGGGTGCTCGGGGAATTTCCCTGCAGCCTTTTCATGATCCTGAGCCCAATTTTTATGAGCGTCAATGCCCAGTCCCTGGTCCTGTTGACGATTGACCGCTACATCGCCATCGTCCGTTCGTTGCGTTACACCACGCTGATGACGACCAAACGGGCCAAGATTTTCGTGGCACTGGTCTGGAGCTGGGCCACTGCCCAAAACCTTGTTCTGCTTGTCATCAAAACACAGATGAAGGAACAACTGGAAGGCGATAACTTGTGTCTGGCTGTCCAGTGCACCACATGTTACCTCGTGTACAATCTCGGTTTTGTGATTTCTTGCTTAGTAGTCCTAGTACTGTACTTGCACATTCTCAAAGTGGCGCGGGGTCATGCCCGACGCATCGCGGCTCAAAATCACGTTGGAGGACGCCACCAGGGCCAGAATGCACCGGAGCGGATCAGCACCAAGTCCGCAACTACCGTTCTCATCATTACTGCAGCTGTATGCGTCAGTTGGGCAGCACCGATCCTCCTGAATATCTATCTCTACAAAGGCGTTTTCGACACTCGGCATCCAGTGTACACTTTTGGGGTGACCATCTACTTCACCAACAGCTGGCTGAATGTGGTCATCTATTACTGGAGGAACAAGGAGCTCTGGCAAGCACTGCGAAGCTTGATAGCTTCAAGCTGTCGCTGACATTGATGGGTTCCGTAACAGTAGACAGCGCATTGTGACCACTCACAAGAGCCTTAAGTGAGAGTAAGCAAAGCACTGGTTAACTCACATCTAACTTAGTTAACTCAATAGTTAGCTCACTAGTTTAGAGTGGTACAGCTGCTTATCAGATAAACTTGAATTTCAGACAAAACAGCATGACAAGTTAACGTTAATAGCATGAGATACTGACAGGCAGTAAATAGGCACAATATCATGTACAGTGATGAACCAATACACATGTAATGGACCTTAAATTGACTCAGCCTTTCATTGTATAAACATACAGGCTACGCAATAATGCAACTGAAGTGTCAATCCACATGTGGATGCTGAAGGAAACAAGTCAGGTGTGTTTTACAAACACAAATGCCCCGCAACGGTGACAGTTCCCATGACATAACACCACTCTTTTAACATCAACTTACATGTACCTTGGTCACATGGAACATTCATTGACAGCATTAGTGTCTTTTGTGGGTTTTATATGAATTAATCCCTAATCCCTATAATCTCGGAATAAATACATGATTTCTATTGTTTTAGCCACTGTGAACTTGACCCTTGACCTTTTGGCCCCAAATTCAATAGGCTTCTTAGGATTACCAAGAACAATCCACAAACCAAATTTGAAGTTCATATGTTAAGTATTTCTCAAGTTATCGCGCTGACAAGATTTCTATTGTTT